GGCTTGGTTTGCATCTATTCTCATTCTTTCTACCAGATTATACCTTCATTTAGAGCAGATGTCTTTATCAGTTTTTGTGCAGCAGCATTTCAAACATAGGCCGTATGAAGCTGCATCTGTTGTTTTCTCTAACTCCAATGTATCTTAATTAACAGCAGATAACCCTTTTGGTCACCCTGGTGTAACTCTCAAGTCATCTCCCCACACACCTGTGGCCAGAGCTCAGCGTACCTCTCCACCTTTTTTCCTGGAATTTGGAGCGCTAAGCCTCCATGGACTATTGCATGTTTATCCACAAGACCTGATGAACTGGGTGGCCCTGGCTACCATTACTGAAAGTTTTAATCAAGGAGTCAGTGGATGAATTCTGATTAAAAAAAAATGTGCAACAGAATTTCAAATTCTTACGGAATCCAGACTAACTGGATTTATTGAGAATGGAAGAATCCCTAAATCATACTAAGAAAATCTCTACACTATGAACCAAAAATATTCCAAGGCCATCTAATTTTATTTTTGCATTTTGATTGGCACCTACTCCACATACCACAATTGTTCAATCATGTCAAGGATTGTACAATCATCACTACAATCGATTTTAGAAGATCCGCCCCCACCAACCCCCAGCCCCACGATTAAATAGCCTTTAAAATGAGTTGTGTAACCAGAGTCAGGTCTAGTGCTCCTCCCCCGCCCCCCCACTTCTGAAATCCCCTCACCCTCTCTATCCCCTATAAACCCTGTCCACTCCTTGTGTGAAGGCACCTTTGAATAAACATTTAGCTAAATTAGTAAAGAATGTTCACTATGAACATTATACTCTTTTAAAACCTTTTAGTTCATATTTTCTTAATTTAATCATTTTATTGGGGGCTTGTACAACTCTTATCACAATCCATACATACAACCATTGTGTCAAACACATTTGTACATTTGTTGCCATCATTCTCAAAATATTTACTTTCTACTTGAGCCCTTGGTATTAGCTCATTTTCCCCCTCCCTCCTCCCTCATGAACCCTTGACAATTTATATTGTTATTTTCTCAACTTACACTGTCCAACATCTCCCTTCACCCACTTTTCTGTTGTCCGTTCCCCAGGGAGGAGGTAATATGTAGATCCTTGTAATTGGCTCCCCCTTTCCAACCCACCCACCCGGTATCACCACTCTTACCACTGGTCTTGAAGGGATCAGCTGTTCTGGATTCCGTTTTCAGTTCCAATTTATATCAGTGTACAGCCTCTGGTCTAGGCAGATTTGTAAGGTAGAATTGGGATCATGATGAGGGGGGGCGGGGGGCGGAGGAAGCATTTAGGAACTAGAGGAAAGTTGTATGTTTCATCATTGCTACATTGCACCCTGACTGGCTCGTCTCCACCCTGTGACCCTTTGTAAGGGGATCTCCAGTTGCCTACAGGTGGGTCTTGGGTCCCCACTCTGCACTCCCCCTCATTCACAATGATTTGATTTTTTGTTCTTTGATGCCTGATAACTGATCCCTTTGGCACCTCGTGATCACACAGGCTGGTGTGCTTATCCAATGTGGGATTTGTTGCTTCAGAGCTAGATGGCTACTTGTTTACCTTCAAG